CAGGGTTAGGTTAACGGTTGGACTCGATGATCTTAAAGGTCTTTTCCAACCAAAGCGATTCTATGATTCTATGATTCTATTCTATGATTCACGCAATGAAACTAAATCTCTCCCGGCATAATAGGGCTTCTGAGACTGGATGGTCATTTCTTTGAGTCTCTTCATTACGGTGTGCTGATTTAGAGGAAATACATTCAAAGTGTGAATTTTATCCTCTCCTATTCATTAAGGAAAAAATCTAAATAATCTCCTCACCCTAATTTCCTATGGAAATAGGCTTTTCAATGACTCTGTGCTTGTGTGTCTATAGGTGGGGTCATCTCTCAGTCTGTATGTACTTCTCCAATAACTTTTTAAGGTAGTTGGTTGAATTTATCCAGAGTTGATACAAAAGCAGAAGTATCACAGGTAACTGAGCTCCCACAACTTCCGTGCAAACCAGTAGATGCATGGGGGAGAGAGCTCTGTCCACCAAAGGCTGCTTTGTGAACTTGCACGTTCATGGAGCACGGACATGGGCGACAGCCCAAATGTCCCACCTCCAGAAACTCAGTTAAGAGACAAGTCATCTGCAAGACTGAAATGTTCCCCACTGATGGGCTGATGGAGGCTTTTGGCCTCTATAAAACAGCCTTACGTTCTTAAACTTCTAAATGAAGTGGGCCCCTCAGCTGAACTTGCTCTTACACGGAGGCCATGAAGCCATCCCTTCCACCGTAGGGCTGAAACGCATCAGCAGGCCAGGATGGGTTGCTATTAGCAGTCTTTGGGCTTTTCCTCTTTTATGGTTGGAGACTTCATTTTGTGGTGCTTGCATCTGGAGCCATTCACATGAAAGAGTATTAGCAAGTCTAGCAGAGGTGAAAAAAGAGGATAATTAGCCCCAGACAGAAAATTCTAGATGAGCTTGAGAGTTCCTTTCTACTTCCAGTTCTTAGGGATACTGAGATTGGTCATTCTGGCCAACTTTTTATAGAAATAGCAAATGGCCATGAAATTTGGACCTGTATCAAAGCCTGGCAATCCAAAATATTCTTCCCAATATTTTTGCTGTAGTTCAGATCATAGATCAGGGGTCAGGGCCCTCTCTAGCGTCTATGGTATTTGATAGCTAATAACAGCAACAGACTGGATAAATTTTTTCCATAAACTTAATAGGTGTCATATAACTCAGCAGCAGCTTATTAAACTCTCAGTGAGGCTTGAAGTCACTATGAAGAACCCTGGTGATCTACAGGGTATTGAGGGCTCTTTTAATCCACAAATTATCAGAAACAAAGTTTTGCTAGGAAATGTAACAATACCTTTTTTTCATAACGATGGACTTGGAAACTCAGACTTGAGAAAAATTAAAACTAGCTGGCTGGAAGGTACTGAAGCGGTGGTCAGCTTTGAAAGCACAACAGCAGAGTCTGACTTGTACTTAAACACAAAAAATAAAAGCAAAACAAAAGTGAGATTTGGTGAAATGCCTGGCTCTGTGCTCTAGCATGTAAAGCAATGCGAAAGAACAAAAGCCTTGAAACAGAAGAGGTGGCAGAAAAGGAATCACCTCAATTAAATTCAGTAACAACGATTCTACAGCTTCTGCACAAGGCCTGAAGTCCTTGAAGCTCTTCTCAAAGGCTTCACAGAGGATGCCTTGAAGAAATGTGTAGGCAAACGTGGCCACTGGCCCACGCTCAGTAAGGCACGCGTGGGCTGTTCTCCACGCCAGGATGTGACGTGGAAGAGAGATTTTTTTTTTTTCTTTCCTTGAGTATGAGGATACAGTCCCTTATATACTTTGGAGAGGAAGGTGGAATATTTAACTTCTACTTCTGTACCCACTAGAGAGAGGGAAATAAACTGCAATCACTGCCTAACAGATACTAAAATATTTGAGAAGCACTTCTGGATACCTCTTGAGGGTAAGATATCCCACTGAGATGCTGTAAGTATTACTCCTTTCTTTGAATGATTAGTGATATGTTTTAAATGATGCTTTTAGAAATACAAATATTATAATGCATTTTTTCCTCATAATAACAACTTTGTTCTGAATTTTGAGCCAGGACTTCAGGATCTGGGTAAATGATAATGAAGAGGCAAATTTTCTGAAGTGCTGTGGATAGTGTAAGAACATTTTTTTTTCCCCACTGGTTGCAGAGTACTTCGCTGGCATTTAAAAACTAAAAATTGTTTCTGCCTCAGTTTTGCTCTGTGTTCAAGGGCTTCTTCGACAAGGTGAGTACTTCCCAATCTCACTAAGTGTTGTTCAGACAACTATAATTAGAGTGCGATGTACTCAGTTAATGTGATAAGGGAGGGAATTGTAGCGCCTAAGTGAAGATTAAGCTTTGTTTTGGGGTTTGAGATCTCAAAGTACATAGAGTTTTCAACAGTAAATCAAAGTAGTGATCCCAAATTCCGATGACGTACTGCCATCCCCTTGCTCTTTCTCAAATAATCCTTTAATAATCCTGCCTGTACCATTGCAGAATTGTTCGCTGGGGTTTTATTTTTTGATGACCGAGAGCGATGGTTAATGCTGTAGCATGCAAATGCTTACTAACTCTGTTTGTGGCCACGCATTACATGACCACGTTGTTGTTGGCCATACCATCAGCCATGTCTTTGAAACAGCTGTTTCCTGTGGTTAGTATTTATCAATGACGCCACTCCCTGATGCCCTGGAAGTGTTTGCACGAATCAGCACTGGAAGACAGAGCACTTAAATGTCTGACAGTATTTGTCAAGGCAGGCTGTACTTTCGTTTTCTCCTCCCCCCCCTAATCTTGAAAACTATACAACAAGATCTTTCCATAAAGAAAATTTAAAATAGGTTTCCACCATGCAAGATGCTAGCAGCCTTGCGGTAGAGGACCTTGTCTGTGGGGTACTTCTGTCAATAGCAATTTTCGTCTCCTTGCCGCTTACGGGAGGCGATATCTGATAGCAGTGGGAGACACGTGAGGATAGATGGGTCAAGCTGCTGCCTCCTTTTCCATCAACAGCTTCTGCAGAGCTGTTGCTTGATTAACTATTTCATCTACCAGCCCACTCGACTGCCCTTCTTGGTGAGACTATGCAGTAAAGCATTGGTTTTGGGACTTGATTAAGAAGCCTTTCTTGTTTTCTCATGGGACACCAGGCACTGGCAACCGCCTTGGATCAAACTCTCCCTGCCAACACGCCGCATTCTTGTAGCTCTTGAGCAGCTACAGATACTTGGTGTGCACACGTGCACACTATT